GCAATGTTGATACAATGATAAGACCCAATGAATGGTTTTAATTTTCGTCAAATATATAAATTTTCTTATTTGTTGACTGTGTAAAACCACAACTTTGGTTTATTTAGATAGGTATTTATTTGTTTAATGATCCACGGTACTTGATTTGGATGAGTACTGTGGTTTGAAAGGTACTTTAAGCTGCTGTGAAGAATCGAAAAACGATATTTAGTTGCTACGTTATAATCTGTCCGCACAAAATCAATGACAATGAAATGAAACTAGGAATGGGATGGGATTGTAGGGATAGTCCAGTGTAAGTGAATTTTCTATGTTGCTGACTTTATTGTATTTTTCAATGCCTTACAAATGTAGTACAATCTTTGGCACCTTTCAACTCTATTGTAATACGCGGTCCTCAATGACACGATCTTTATATTATATATTACAGTAATTGTGTAGCGTAATATAGGTTTGTAAAAGATAAAGCGATACAATAATGGCTTTACGATATTCAACATAGATTTTCTTCTTGATTATGATTTGTAATGATTTGTAATGATTAGTAATGATTGTTAAAGATTTGTAACGTTTAGTTATGCAACAAGATAGGCTACATTCAATTGCTAATCGTTTTCTAAGTTTATTTGTAAAATAATGGTTTTCTAAGATATTCAAAATATAATTTCTTCATACGTGTGCATCGAGTTATAAATTGTACCAACCGACTTGTTATTATGTAGCTTTGTATATCCTAATAATCTTAGTATTTTTTCAAGTAACTATAACCAGCAGAATATTTTTTAAAAATCATTATATTTTATTTCTTTACTTTTTTTCAATGTAAATATTGCTCCATTTGTGTGTGATAAATATATCTTTAAGACATTTAATCTAAATTAAACATTATCCTTAAGTATATTTGCCTCATGAGTAAAATGTCTATTTCGAAATACAATAATATCGTTTAATAATTATTTTATTTCTCTATAGAAAATACAATTAACATTGCAGGATATTTTCAAACCACAACATTATGTTAGACACATAAAACTAATACACACGTCCTTTAAGTCACAGTAGCATCAGTAATAATGTTATAGTTTAATTCCTCAATAAAATGCTATCTAACTCAAATACACTCATGTTTTAGTGAAGTGTTTTGAAGAACGAATTTTAAATTGATTTTCACATATTTATTATCGATTGAATAGAGTACCAATTGATAATGAATGAGACTTGTATTTCGCTAACAGTCACAAGACATTTTCATGTTATTACGTTGTATTGAACATTAACATCTCCAGTAGGCCTTCTTCTCTACCACTTTAAGTAAGAGGTTTTCGTTATTTCAATCAACAAACTTGTAAAACGTTGGCTTCTGACTGGAGATGATCTATTGCCGTAAGTCAAGTCATTAATACATGTTTGTAACTTCTTGGGATCGATTAAAATAATAATCAGGATAATCGTGTCTAAAAAATATTATCGTCTGTATTTGTTGAGTTTAGTATGGTTACCGAATTGTTAAAGAAATCCTACTTTAAATATTTGCAATTCGTCTGCAATTTTTCAAAATTGAATGTTATTTTTTACCAAAATAACTTTATTATGTATCCTGTAAAGGTTTAAAAAAACATTAATTCATAAAAACCGCTGTATTTTAAATGAAACGATAGCTTATAAACTTTTTGAAAAGCTACACAATTTATTTTGAAATAACTAAAGTAAAGTTATTCATGTAATTTTATATAAATTTTTTATTAACATTATTATACACATCAGTAATATCATATTTTTACTTTGCCCCTAAAAAATAAATGAATAACTTGCTATATCAAAAAACTTATCCGATGCTTATCACCAAATTAAAACAGGCTTATAAAACCCATCACTCGCCCTGCTCTAGTTATTTTAAATTTGCTAGAGAAAGATAAATGTGTATAACAATTTTTCCGTCAATCATATAACGCATATGTTTTACAGTATAAGGTTTTGCACGTCAGTGACAAAATTCTAATACAATCCATTATTAATTTATTATGTCGTTTTCATACAGGTTCTTTTAAACAACAATGCAATTTCAACTAAAAATAAAGGTAAGCACATATAAACCATTTATCAGTGATTGGAATATCTTTAGTAACTTTTTTATAACATAAAACATTCATAACAACTGTCTATTTCAACGTTTTATAAAGAAAATTTTATTTGATTTGCATAAAAGCTGCTTTGGGCGATTTCTTTTCATGCTAATTACGGAATACCATGTTTACTATTTAGCATGACTGAATTTTGAACAAACGTACTGTGGCTACTAAGCAGGGACAGACACATTAGAAATATATAACAGAATTAGTAAGCTACAGTATGTCCAATTCAAATCTAACAACTGAATAATTTCAAGCCATACATTGTTTAGCATTGTTTGCGTTCACAAATTAAATAATCTATTATAAATAGTATAGACTCTTTAAATATATTTCGAAGAATAATCTTAATAATGTAATATTCAAACATAATGCATTAATAAGAATTAAAACTACTTTTAGCTGATTCAAAGCGGACGTAAAATCATAAAACCCTTATATCACAGTCGTTTTATTTATTTTAGGGCCTACATTTGCAATTATATAACTATTCTATACAATAACATGAGCTCATTTCCAAGTAAAACCCTCATCTGACCTTTATTTGCAATTCTATTGGTTATCATAATATCAAAATTTCTAATCGTAATACTTTCTACGTTCAGTAATAACTTTAAATAAAATAGGCTGTACATCAATTATGGGCTATATTTTATTGCAAAATTAAAAGGAAACTGTACTAGAATACATTTACAATACTTTATAATTTTCGATGAACGAGTGTAGTGAACGTAGACTAGAAGGTCTCTGAACAGTAAAAATGTATGTGAAAGGTTTGTTTTAAATTGTTATAGGCCTATATTTTTTTAATTGTGTTAATCCAACAAGTGTTATTAGAGTCTAAGATGCAGTAACCTGGAGTTGAGCTCTTACTGCCATCTGTGTGAGACACCTAAAACTACTCTCAGGCGGAGAAACTGTATACTGCGCTGTACGGTTGTTAGTATTATTACAATAACATAATGATAAATTATAGTTAAGTTATGAACAAGTTTTTTTTTATAATAACACAATTGACCTGAGGTACAGTAATTTATCATAAGTATGAATTGTTTCTCCAAATTCAATAAATTCGATGGATTAAAATCATATAAGATACCATCACATCATAGGACGATAGAGTTTGTCCCTTTGAAATACATTATCTATATAAAATTCATTAACGAACCTTTTTAACTAGCGCAACGATTAAAAGTGAATGCATTTGTCAACAACAACACGTTGGTAGATCTGTATATGCCCTATATATAGTTGTTAATAGTAAACATTACCCATCATTTACTAAGTGGTAATTCGCTCTAGAGGCGAATAGTTGAAATAAAACAATCAAATACATTTTAAAACTTCTACTGCAATTTATATTTAGAAAATATAAACATTTATAATCAATAATATTAAATTTTTCATTACACGTGACTTCAATTTTTTACAAACTAGTCGTTTATAACTTGATGATTAATCTTTCCTTTCATTTTCAATCCTCTTACACATTTGACACCTTAAGGTCCCCTTAAGTTATGTGAGGACTAACGTGTTAAAAGCATTGTAGTGTGTCAGTATGATGTAAAGGGTGATCTAGTAAAGTTCATAAAAAATTATAACATGCAGTTGTTTTGGTATGTCACCGTATAAGGTAATTTTCAAATTTTAGTATTTGAACATAACATAAGATTACATTATTTTATGTATGATTCAAGCTGATACATTAGAACTAGTACAGTAGTAACTTCATTCACAACCTATAATTATAGGTAGATTGTTTTCCCTTTACGTATCTCGTCTTCTACTCTATCTATTGGCTTTAAAATTATCATATTAACTAAGATTTGTATAGTGTGATGATAAATCGTTACTAGGTTTGTATTTGTATTAATGTGATTCGTGTTTAGGCTCGAAATAGTAGAACATTTATATTACCCTTTTAAAGCGCTTTCAAACCTTAATATTTTATGGATAAATGGATGTTTATGATTAAGCAGTTGGTTAAAATCCTTTTCTGAGATAGAAGTCAATGTTCATTTAATCTGACTATGAATGAGTTTGTTGTAAACGTAGATATGGTAAAAATTGTTTTTTACTTTTGTACTTGACAAATTCTTTAATCGTTCGAATTAAATGTAATTAATGACGAAGTCTTATTAATTTACAAAAACTAGTCATTAGCGAGAGTCATACGGTGGCTAGGTTGAACAAACGAAATTAAATTACACATTCGATTTTCGGATTTTGTCTCCAAAAGTAGACTTCAAACAGGACAAGACCACTCCATAGAACCAAAGTAATTTTACATAAAACCGTGAAATTCATCAATTTTGATTCTCTGTGGTAAGGGTTTCGGTTAGCATTTCACTTCAGCAGTTTAGTATGTATCATTTGGCGTGATTCGTGTGGTAGTTGTTCAATTCAAATGTTTACGTTTAAAAATTCCGATTTAAAGTCTTAACAGGGATTTCGAAACACTGTTTAACCCTAATTCAAATAAATAAAGGGCCTCAATTGGTTACGAACAAGTGACCTTCAGATCTGCAGGGGAGAGAGCTACTAGCTACCAGCATTCTGGTACCCATACAGTTTGACTCTTTACTACCATAAAATTTGAATTTGTAAGATATTAGCTTGCTTATGAGAAATAAAACAACAAAATTAAATAACGCTATAAACCCAGCCCACGCGAGAAGCGATTTCCGCTGCGAGGGCCGCGCTCTAGCATGGCGGCGGGTGGTGGGAGGGGATAATTCCGAGTTGTAAAAACATTCTAAAGGACATCTCAATCGGCTCCCCTCTCGTAAGTAAACTAGACAGGGAGAAAAAATGGTCCAATGAGGAGCGTCGTGGGAGGGTTGAGGGGGGAGGTTAGGTCCCTCCCCCAGCTGTCGTCGTCGCGGTGTGTCGCACGTCAGTCGTACAGCGAGACTCCGCCGCGGCACACGCGTTGGACGTGAGTGACAGTGTAGTGACTGTGATGGTACACTAGGTACAATGAACGGTGAGATAGAGGAACAACACACTATCCGCGTCGCAGCGCCCAGCGTGGAGAAGCAACCTCTGGTGAACAACAACAACAACAGCGAGTACGGCAAGTACCGGGGAGGGATGCCGCAGAAGTCGCCGTTCGCTATCCAGGAGCTGCTGGGGTTGTCGGAGCCCAGTGGCGGAGTACACCGTAGTCCTACCGCAGGGGTGTCCGCAATCACTCCCCACGGTCCGCACGGCTACTTCCCGCACCACCAGATGTCCATGGCGGCGGTCAACGCTAGTAGGATGGCCTACTCGTACTTCAACGCTCAGGCCGCGGTCGCCGCGTTCTTCCCGCACAACATGAATATCGCGGCAGCCATGAGTCCTGGCCCGTCGCCGACCAACAGCAACATGCTGCATAACAACTCCCATGGTGAGTACAGTACAGTGATAATTGAGTGTAGAGCAAGTAGATATAATGTATGTGAAGATAAGAGTTATAATATGTAGGTATTGCATAGACAGTACTCTAATATAAACATATAATAATAATAAACATAAATTATAGCTAGGCCTAGTAGGTAAACAAACAAAAATGCTTCAACGCGTCCGTGTCGGGTCGCATCGCGTTGCCGGCGTCGATGTCGGCATTGGCGCTGGCGGGAGGAACAAGCGATAGCGTCGGCCGATAGCCTAGCTCGAGCTACTATAGCTGTATTTATGCGTGATTATAACACTTTAAATACAGTAAATAGTTTAAAACATGAGAACAGCCTTTATAAATAAATTAAATATTATATAAATACTCATAATAAAACATTTTGTAAATAAGAATAATGCAAATGCTTGTGTATTCTAGCAAATTAATAATTTAAATTGCATAAGTTAAAACAGTACATTTTCTACTATGATAAAATTGCATTCGCAATTTATATACTGTAGTAAGTTAAATGTTAATAAAACTACACCGTTGGACATGCAAATAAATAAACTATATTTTAAAACGGTAGCGTTTATTATCTTCATAGAAACCAAAACTAATAAAATCTATCTCTTATTGACATTATTCCTAAAGACAACATTTGTGTTTACTTCCATTGTAGGCTTTTATAAAAAATAATTGTTTACATAGGGAGTACAAAAAATCATGTTATCTCTTTGGAAGTTGAATCATTATTTTTATAACATCCCAGTATGCTATAGGCTAGATACAAAACTGAATACAATAACATTAAACACAACATTTTACTTTAAATAAAATGATTTTAAATCATAATGGTTTTAATAACTAATTATTTGAAATGGTGAGAATTTTCCATATGTTTGGTAATCGTTATTGTGATATCTATATTCTAATATCTATCTGAATAAGTAGGCCTACCTATAATTATTTTAATACATTATTTTTATTTTTATGGATGGTTTGCTTAAATATTTTCACAAAAATAGGCCCTAGTTAACATTCACATGGTATTTTTGTGTCATTTTGGAGTTATGGTTTGAAAGATAAAAAAACATACAATTACAATAGAACATATGGTGTTAAAACATTACATGCTTTGAATTGAAATAGATACAATAACAATCATCATGCTCGTGTTGGAGAATTGATCACTTTATCTTTTGGATAAATGGGAAAATGAAAACTGATTATTTAATTAGTCGCATTAGCTATAGCCATTTAATTAGTGTATGTAAATAAGATGATTGTGTTTTGTATGTTTGCAAATTGCACAAGCTCTTGATAGAATTAAAAATAAAATCAATATTCGTACATTAAACCTGGTTGCGCGTTGAAATAAAAGTCTGATGCCTCATCAATTGCATGATATGATGTATAATTATTTTTAGCTCAGTCTTCAATGTTTTAGATATGTCCAAATTGTGTTTAATTTACGTTATTTTACAACAAAATAAGCCATACTAGCAGAACAAGTAAGGTTTTATTTAATTTGTGACCAAATGTATGATCTTTAATTCAGAACTTCAGAATAATTCAATATAATTCAATAATTCAATAATTCAATAATTAACTTCAGAATTCAGAATAAAGACACAACAATAATTTAAGTACAGAAGATAAATAAGTTAGCTAAAATACATTAGGCTAAACTTTTCATAAATAGTCAATTAATTGTTCAAACGAGTTATAAATAAATATATAATTGCATGTTATTGTCGTTGTTTTTGTTTTACCTAGCTAGTATCTTATTGTTGCATGGAATCCAAGTAAAAATATGCATGTGCCGTTTAACTATTGCAATAAGAATGCATTGATTATTAAAACAACTAAAAAAGTATCAATGCTAACATACCATTTATATCAGGGTATAGTGTGAAATTAATAATCATGAGTCGGCGCGGTGGTCCTGTGAGTTCTTTGCAAAAAAAGTAACAACAATCCAAATTCAACTGAAATTGGTGAAACATTAATTTAACTGTGATTTTATAATTTTATAATCACAAATTTTAACAGAGGCCGATATCACCATCATATTTTCATTACCGGATGATTCTGATAATACAAAACTCAGAGGCCGGACATCCTTCATTTTCCCGATTGCAAAACATTCGTAAGATTTTATAGCGATTAGTTATAGATTTGCAACAGTTTTTTTATCGACTTTTACAAATCCATCGTTCGAAAAAACGCAGAACTTCCGCACTTGAATGGCTTCATGAATTGTTTTGGAGCAATCTCAATTTCTGTTATCGGTCGACTTACAGGGGTTCTTCCCATGATCATAACTTTTTTATTTACTTAGGCTATAAGTATTTCTATAACTTTTTTGTGGTTTAATACCTAATAATGATAAATGAAGGGTTTCTTGTGGGTAGTGAAATACTTTAGGTTTTTTTATCTACGTTTCAGATGTGACAGCAAAAATAACTAAATAGTTTAAACCATCCATTAAAAAAATATAATGCATATAAACTTCCAAATCATGATCGTATGTATTAAATATACCGGCTGCTCGACAGATTGTAATGAAACTTTTAGGCATTATTAAGCATTATTCAAGGATGGTTTGTGTGAGGTTTGGTGCAGATCCGTCAAAAGGGCTCCGCCCCAGTGGCTCTGGAGTTTCCCATGTTAACCTTATATATTATATTATATTTGAATATATTATGAGTACTCATATTTAAATGGAATTAAAGAATCTTAACAGCTGGTTCAACTAAACAATTTGATTCTGTGATGTTAAATAGCATTAAAAGGTTAATAGGTTTACCAACAGGGTGCAGCACTATTATTTTTTTTTTATTTATGACAACAGCTAATTTGCAACCGAAAGGTGTAGCGAACGAATTCAACCTGGAGGCGAGTTAGCTTAGCGAACGAGCTAACCTGAGGCGAGTGAGCGTAGCGAACAATCTTCAACCAGGATGTGATTGAGCCATGCGAACGAGCTCATCTTGAAAATTAACGAGCATTTGACATAAAACCACATTAGGACAGGACGACGTCTGTCGGGCCACCTACTATTTCTATAAATAAAGGCAAATAAAGGTAAATAAAGGTAGTGTTCATAAATAGTATTTGAGATATTGATAGTTTTAATAAGTTAAGTTCAAGATACTGAATCGCTCAGTCAGAAAACATAAATTTCATTATGTCTTGGAAATGGAGTTTAGATATAGATATAGATTCTAAATACGTTATCCTATTTGCCGTTCTCCAAAAGATTATCCAAAAGCAGGTTCTTTTGCACCTCGAACCTTCAGTGAAATGTCAGCTTCCATTTGAACTATTGATTATTAGGATCGGACGTATTGCACACTGCTAAATTACGAACAACCCAAATTTTTCGAACAATTGATTTATTTACCAATCGATTTATAGTCGACTTTGACGGTTTTCACCTTTAAATCTAAAAAAAATCAAACTTTCATAACTATTTGCAAACTTACACGAATTAGGCTTTCCAATGACCTATTAATTAATAAAATCGGTTCAGGAGAACTGTAAATATAATTGTAAAACGTTTAACAACATATTTCATTCAGTATTTTCCCACCACTATAAAAATGGAGGTTGAAGGGGCAGAGAAGACAGAACTACTCATAATGCCACTCAAGTTCCAAATTCTGAATTTTTTATCAGCAAATAGAGTATTATTCCTTCAAAAGTAGGAGAATCTCTCCAGGATTTGGAGACTTGCACATCTGATTGTTCCAATCAGTCTCAAGGCATCAAGTTTGATAATGTTCCCCACCAGACCGGTACAGGCCTTCAAGGAGTGAATCAGTATCTGAACACTGAAGCACAAAGTCAAAGTCAAAGTCAAAGTACTTTTTATTTCCAAATTTTTACAAATTTGATTGAAATATAAAACAATTTCTTAGCATGTATCTTAAAAATACAAACTGGTTTTTTGATGATAAGAAACCTACATAGACACATACTTAATTGCTCACTAAAACACAATGAAAATTTAAATCTTACCTACAACTTGGTCTATATATGGAAATAAAATACTAACGTGCAAGGAAAGAATTTCCTGCTCGCACGTAGGAGTTACAAGTCTGAATACAAAGTGATTAAAATAAAATATTAGCTAACATGAAATGACAATATAAATTAATGGCCCATCTTGACAAATTTATATATAATTCCTGTTTACAGAAAAATAGGACATAAAGGTTAACAAATCCATTTAGTGCTGATGTTTAAAACCATTCTGTAACTTAAGTTCTTTTCTATATTTTAAGAATTTGTACTATTAATTTTATTTTATTACATATTTAATTTTAGGGCCTATGTTACAAATATTTTAAATGTAATATAGGCTATTCATTGACACTATTCAATGTACCAAGCATGTACAGATGACGAATAAAGATATTTTGATTTGATTTGAAAGGTCTTGAGATTTGAACAGATGGTTGAACATAATTTTTAATATATAACCACAGAATCTCTTCTTAAATTAAGTGATACTACAAATTATCCTCGATAAATTACTGAAAATTTTATCGATAACTTGATTTATTTGATAGTGAGAAAGATTGGAAAATTCATTATTGCATTATCAAAAATAGTTTATGGAAATTGTCTGTCGACATACTCAATAAGTATGTTTTTAATGATTTCTTTAAGGAATGGTCTGAATTTATATTTAAAATACTTTTAGGAATAATATTAAGAAATTTAGGAGCACAAGCCAGCACCAGTAAGCTAGGGAATGAACAACGTGAAAAGCAACCTTCCAAGCCTACTACTCGTCAACAGAGAAGACATGAAGACAGAGATCTGCAGGTTGTGATTTTTCCAAATCAGCTAACCATTACAAAACTTAAAGGTGAATGTTCTGCACCTTGTAACGAATGTGGCTCAGATGAACATGCAAATACCAGCGAATCCGAAAATGAGAGTGTAATTGTCAGAAATGGCATATATATATCAGGATTTCATCACAAGTTAAAAGGAAG